GGGGGGGGGGGGGGATTCAGAAATTACAAGGTTGGCAAGTTAAAAAAATTAAAGTAAAAGAGGTAAGTAAAATATTTTAATCACAAAAAATGTCAGTGTTGTGGTACCAAACGTAAAGAGAGTTTCTAAAATTTTGTCAAAAGAAATTTTACCAGAAAAGAAAATAAAGTACAAAGAAAAAAGTGGAAGATAAAAAACACAAGGAAGATGGAATTGGAACAAACCGACATATTTCCAGCTGTTTCAGAACAAACTATCACGTGCACTCTTTAGTCCCTCCTTTAATTAAGAGCTGGAGTCCTTATGATACAATTGATTGAAATCAAAGTGGGGAAAAGTTGCATTTTAAATGTTTTACTTAATTTTATTATTTGGTTATGTGTGTATCCTGAGTTAAAACTTATTCGTACTTTGTGGTTTGCGTCAATCTAAGTATTTTGCACATTACCATTTAACTATAGTTATCAAGCAATATTTATTTCATTTTAATTTATAATTTGTACGGTTTAAATTATTTAATTTAATTAAACATTGAATGCGAGTAAATATTTTTTTTTAATGTAACCTAATGTTACAGTATAATTTGTTTTCATGCATAAGCCAATGTCATTATCAAAATAAATTCGACTAGACTCCTTAATTTGTAAGTTTATAGGGCGATAACATCAAAATCTACCTCAATCATTATATTCTAATCATATTTAAGTTAATAATTAATTAACTATAATTTTTTCTAACCTCTACATCACTTTATTTCTCAAGAGCTCCTCCGTTTGTGGGGCTCATGGTCGACTAAAAAATTATATGAAAGTTAAAAAATAGTATTACCTTTATTTAGTGAAGGCAAAATGGAGAAAAAAACAACTATTTATCTATATTATCCACTAAAAAATAATAATTTTTTTAAAAACAAGTTAAATATGAATAAGAACTATACTATCCACTTAGAAAATTGATAATCAATGGATAACTAATGAATTTAATTTTTACATTTGTAAATACTCAAATTAGGGATTCCTCAAGTTTTGAAAACTCAGAATTATTCCAAAAGTAGTTATTCAAGAAGCCTTGAAAAATATGAATATCCATATTATCCAACGGTTAATCTATTTTCTATCCGTATTAAATATAAGTCGGGTCGGATAATATATCCGTTTTTCATTACCATTTTCGATATGTCCATATCCGACCTGGCTCGCCCATTTGACATCCCTAGCTCTATTTCGCTTTATACAATGGTATTTGGATATAGATAAAGAAAATATTAGTAGAGTTTAAAAAAGATTTTTGATAAATACTAAAGGTATCATCAGAACTTCTATTTTTAATATGCCATCACATTTGAATGATTATACGGACATGACATTGAGGGTAAATAATATAAAATTTAAAATTAAAGAGTTTCTAAATATATAGTTATGACATTCTTTTGAGAAATACTGAAAAACGTCGTATAAAATGAAACAAATAGAGTATATTCCTTGACCGAGAGAAACATTCAATAGTTGTACATTTGTAATGTTTGTCACATGAATATACTCAACAAATAGAAGCAAATTCAATATTTAGAGTTAAGTTTCACACGAAATCAATGACTATAGATTGAGTATCTTGTATATATGCATTTAGCACTTAGCTGTGGTTAAACGATAAGTTTTTCACTTTTAATTCTCAATTGCATAGTTTGGGTAAAAACCCGGGGCGGGTATTATTTAGCCGTGAACTTGTGTTTAGCATTTAGAACATAGGGAACCTAATTTGCCAACTCAATTAAATCTAATTTTCTTGTAGTGTATTACTTCCTGCCACAATCTCTACATAAAATTTCAATTCGTTGTTGGCAGATGCTTTTCTGAATCCGATACATGCACTACAGGAATGAGTATTTATTCCTTAATTATAATTGAGAAATATTTTTAATTTATCTCAATTTTGTCACTTTATTAAATGTAATATCCATATCTTATATTGTTCTTACCGCAAATTACAGCACTGCTTTTCGTTTTAGGTACGTAATTTTTCTATTAATTTAATCATTCGATATCTAATTACATGCGGACTATTTTTGGTTCGCATAAAATAAGTTTTAATCATTACGCAACTTTATCCTGCATTTATGCGAGAAACTATTTTTACGGCTCGAACCGTGACCTCGTCAAATGAGGTCAACTTTACCTGATTAATAGTGAAATAATCTTTGTATCATCTCAATCCATCATCTTACCACATGATGACTTTAGTACTTCGAAATTACAGTGCCTCTTGCAACTAGTTGCGTGCGCAGAGGCAGAGGTATAGTAGCATTATTTTAAACATTGGCATCGAATTTAGCACATTAGCAGCTGACTACTGTACCTCTCCATTTTCATATTCAAATCTTCCCACCGATAATTAAACTCTTCTTAATGACCCCATGTCAACTTCATATTACTATATTCCCCAAAATGCAGATTTTCCCACTGCGATCCCTCAGAAAACGTTTCTTTTCCATTGCAGATGTCCCCTTTCTGGTGCTTCTTCCCCATCTTGTTCTTTTTTTTTTCTTTTTTCTTTTTTTTTGCATAAGATCCTCATCTTGTTCTATTCCTACTTAGTTGATATCTTAAAAAAAAAAAACGAGAAAATTGAGTCGTTTATATGGGAAAAAGCAGAGGAATTGTGACAGTATTTCATTGAAAAAAAATTTGAAATGAAAGTACCAAGAAATTGCTAAGTTGTGATTGAGATCTTCAATGAATTTAAGTCTGACTACAATTAACTTAAACGCATAGTTATGAGGAGAAAAAAATACTAATTGAAAACTCTATAATTCCAACCCCTCCCTTTTAATGTCTTCACAATTCTAGGGGAAAAAAAAACTCAATTAACTTTGGCATTCTTCCTAGTCTTCAGTTTACAAACAAATCGCCAAACCCCCCAAATGAAAAAAAAAACCAGAGGAGTAATTTGAACCCCAAAAGAAATTATAATTATACTTGACCAAAAAAAAAGGAAAGAAAGTCAAACCAAATTAAGCTGAAATTAGAAGGTCCATTTCAAGATCTTGACTCTGAGATCAACCTTACACTTAGCATTACTTGTTGAAGCCACAGCTGGAGCTTTCCCCTTTGGAGTTGGTCCATGAATTCCTTCACACGTTACTCTGATCCCTACCCTTTTGCTTTTCAATTTGTCCATTTTCACTACAACCATTGTATCTATCAATAATGTTACCGGTAACCCAGCTTTTCTCTTCAGATCTGATCTCAAAGACGAAACGGAATCAGCATCAAGAACTTGAGATACCATTGACAGAGTAGAGTGTATAATAGTGATATTATTTGGACTGCTAGTGAACCCTGGAAACGACCCATTTGCTAAAACAACTTGATTTGATAGCGCAGTTATAGAGATGGGGTTATAGTTATATATCAGTTTCTTGTTTGGGTTTTTTGTTGAGAGTGTGAGGTTGAGTTTTGCAGTGAGGTGGGTGGTGTCATCGGCGGTAGTAGTAAGGTTGAACTGTGAGATTTTGAGTGAGGAGATTGAAAATGCGGGGCGTTGAGGATGGTAAAGGACGTAGAAAATAGCACCGGCAATGGCGGCAAGGAGAAGGATAATGAGAATGCTGAGAATGAACCAGAAACAGCACATGCAGAAACAACGTCGGCAGTTGCAACGGCGGTGGTTGTGTCGGTGGTAGGCAGTTGGTGTCGGTCGGTAAGGGATGCGATTTGGATTGTACATCTGGTTCTTGACGGTGGCGACAGCTGGATTTGCGGCGGTGGCTGTGGCATTGGGAGCGGTGGCTGTGCCATTAGGCTTGGCTGATGGGTAGACTCTGTCAGTCATTTTTTGGGGGGGAGAAAATGAATTGAGGTTAGATTTGGTAAGAGAATGGAAATAAGATAAATATAGTAAACTTGCGAGTAGATGCAAAGAATAAAGAATTATAGAATAACTAAAGAAACAGAACAAGATAATGCATATGAAAGAGGTTAGAAAACCTTAACTTGTTCGAGGAAGAAAATGAAAAATTGTGAAGTAAAGGCAAAGCAAAGTGTCAAAGTTTTTTGTGTTGTGGTTTTTTTTTCTTTCTTGATTTGGTTCAAAGTCCTTTTGGGGTGTAGACTATAACCACAAGGGGAGAAATTGGAATCTCTTGGCTGGCTTGGGCCTTAAATTGTTTGTTTTGCTTTCTTTTTTATATTTTTTGATTTATCTCTCTGCTATACCCACTTGGTTTTGTCTTTTTTTCCCTCTCCCTTTTTCCTTTCTTTTTATATGTCAAGTTGTATTCTAATATGTTTTGAAATGAAAAAATGAGTTATATTCTATGAAACTTCTTAATGCAACAAAATTTATTGAATGTATGCGAATATACAGTTTACAAATGTGTAATCCATTCGTTCACTTTTACTTATCCAGTATTCTAAAAATAAATTTTCTCTTTTACTTGTCACTTTTAGGATATCAAGAGAAGACAATTTCATTTTTCCTGTTATACTCACAACATTAATTAATCATTTCAAATCATTTTCTCAAAATATTAAAAATATGCATCAATTAATATGAGTATCATGGTAAATTGCATTTCATTTATTATTTTTTAAGGAGCATGAAAAGTCAAAACGTGACAAATAAAAGTTAACGGAGAGAGTATAAAGGTAGGGATGTGGGGATTGGAATTTGTAGTCTTAATCTACCCTTTTGATAACAACATGAAGAAGATAGATGCAATAAATGTGAATTCAATTTAAGTTATATACCCTATTGATGTAGTCATGTACCTTAATATGATATGCATAGTAATTATTATTTTTATTAAATTACTAATTAAGAGTTATTAATATTTATTTATTAATAGTTATCTTATAAATACTTTAATTATCTAATATTTTTTTATTATTAATACATAAAAATTAAACTCAATTGAGTGACGATAAGATAGAAGAAAATATATGACCTTAAACGTAACTATTCTCAAAAAGTAAGCGTCCAAATATGCAAAATACTTGAGATTTTATTGCTTTTGACCTTATTTGACCTCAAGAATATATTTACATAATTTATGGGTGATTTATTCATATACCATCTATGACATTTATTTATTCTTTTCCTCATACTGTTTTCTACCTTTCTTTCCTTCATTTATTTATTTCTGATTATAAGGTGGTGCAGCATACCTTTCATGAAATCTAGGTGTGGGGATTCAGGCGTTATACTTACTCCTGTATACGTTTTGACTTTTCACGTCTCTTAAAAAATAATAAATGAAGTGCATAATTTACCATGATATTCATATTAATTGATGCATATTTTATTGGATTTGAAAAAATGGTTTGAAATATGTAATAAATATTGTGGATATAACAGAAAAAAAAATTGTCTTCTCTTATTATGCGTAAAGTGACAAGTAAAAGTGAACAGAGGAAGTATATATAGTAAATAATTATAAAAACAAACAATGGGTGAGTCCACCCTATTTGACTGTATGCCTTGCACATTGATATATGCATTGATGATCCAAATCCTACTTTTAGAACTTTATCTTCAGGCTGCTTCTCTCTTGAGTTAATGTCCCAAACTCGCTAATCATAATACTAACAATTCCTCAATGTTCACGTATGTATTGTGTGCTTTTTATTACACCCCATATTTATTATGGAAATATATGTTTGATAGCCCTAATTTATGATGCAAAAGCTCCCTTTATATGAAAACAATATCTCACTTCCTCTACCTAAATGTAATAAATACATTCCACTTGATATGTTACTATCAAATATCTAAACAAGTAAATAATATAATAGGGGTAACACATTTTGGTTAGCTGAAAGTGAATATCCTTACCATGTCCTTTTCTTTAGATCCTAATAAAGACCAGACATTTATTAAGTTAAATTACATGAATAGGAGAAAGCAATGGGGTAATATAATTTGGAGATTTATCTCTTTGTGTGTTATTTGTACTTTTATCTCGACGAATTTTCTTAAACTCATTTTCACAAAATCAATGACAACAATTTAGAATTCGAAAATATGTCTTTATAATCACATGTCATCGACTAATTAAACGAAGGGTTGGGTATAACCAATCAGTGAGTGGATACAATTATTTATGACTCGCTATTGCTTTTAACTTTCCAAAAATTAAGAAATTGAGGAGCTTACTTTCAGAATTGGTATAACACACAACACAATTTACTTTATACGCCTAGTGTGACATCTTATACGACCTAGTAACTATTTTAAAAATTAATATTACCTTTTTTAAAAATTATCTTAACTAATAAAAGTTGTATGATTTTTACCCTTTTATGTAGAATTTAAATTTATAACTTTATTTTCTAAAAATTTAAAACTCAATATCCATATGCTTATCCAACGTTAGATATTTTGACTCACATATTCCATTCTTTTTGAGACAGATTAAGTAAGGGGTCGTTTGGTTTGAAAACAAGTTATTTTGTGAATAGTTATGATGAGATTAGTTATCCTGTATTATTTCTTATTGACTGTTTAGTATGTTGTATTAATTCTGTGATTGTCAATTTTACTGTTTTGTTCTGAGATAACTTATTATGTGATTAGTGATTACTATTCCACCGTCTAGCTAGCAGGTATAAGTTACCTTGGTACTATTTTAAAATCTGTGATAAATTACCTAGGATTAGTAATCAAATAAGGAATAAGTCGATACTAAATTTTTATTTCAAAAATATTTTTGCTTATCAATCATACCAAACAACCCTAATAGAGTTTGCTAGCTAACAATTAGTTAAAGATATTGTAAAGCAACAAAAAAACAAACGTTTCTCTTAAGCACATAAAGGTTTCACTTTGAATTACCTTTTCTAACAAGATTAAAAACGTTTGGTCAACGTATCTTCCAAATTAGTGTCGCCAGAATGGTAATTATGGAAAACTTGCAAGTTTAGCTTATAAAAAAAAAAGGCAGAGCACACCGACAAATTCGTCCCCTTCTAGCATCTGTCATGTACTTTATTGGAATAACAAAGTAATTAGTGGGACTAATCTCTTCATTATTATTCTTAACTGAAAAGTCAAATGAAAATAATACCTTTTTCTGAAAGTTAAAAAAGGACAGTATTTCAATAATTAATCTATTCGAGGTTTGCGTAATACTAATATGAAAATTATTACTTCTAGTCCTTGTTCTATATTTTAAAGATTTTTACACAACTTTTAAAAAAAATATATTTACCAACTTTAATCATAAAATATTTATTTAAAATACAATGTATCTCTCTTTAAATCTTTACTAAAGGAAAAATTCTACTAATTGAAATAGTAAACTTATTTTGAAAAAAGGACTCCAATAAGCACCCTGTATATTTCTGAAATGAAAATATTAGGAAATACTAATATTTAGAATCGTCAAAGTAATTTATCGTGATGTTAAGATAATTGGCTATAAAATTATGATAACAAAAGACAGTAATTATATTACGTGTCACTATTATCTCAGTTAATGGTTCGATTCGATCGATATTTTATAAAATATGTACCATACCAATTTTTCAATTACTCTAGTATGTATAACTAAAATTAGACTTTTCAAAACCGTCTCAATCATGTCTGTTTCTCTGCGGTATCGGTTCGGTTAATTTTCGATAATTTTTATAAATGTTATGTAAAAGTCACTAGTAGAAGTAGAATGCAATAACATACGTACTTTTATAGGATTTAGTAAAACTCTCTATACATTTTTACAGTTTAAAAGGTGATGAATTAAGAAAATATGAAAGATGGCTAGAGTATAAATCCATCAACTATTCTACAACATTGTAAAAGAAATAAAGCAAATACAAAAAAATATATATAAATCACACGAGTTGAAAGATATTAAGCAAGTTGTGATTTACGAATAAAGTCTGTACAAAATTAGACATTCAAAAATCTAAATCATACGAAAGGAAATATATTCAATACATTGCAGTTCGCTACACATAATCTCTACAATACCTTGTGTCTTGTTAGTGAATATGGTGAAAATAATTTAATTTCAATAGAAGTAGCATAATAGGTTTGGAAATTAAGATTTTGATTTTAATTACTTGTTGATTATAACTGTTTCGTAATTCCAAGGCCTAAGAACAAATTTAATACTTTATTATTTTTAAACTTAACATATAAATATATTTTTCACATTTTAAATTTATTCGATACGATTTGATATTTTTTTAGTTTATTTTTATAAAATAAAAAATTTAGCCTAATTATCAGTATAATTATAAATTTATATAAAAATTTATGATTTTATTAAAAGAAAATTAAAAGTCGGCTCGTACGGTGTCATTCGATTTGGTGGGTTTGGCGGGAATCTCAATACCTGAGCCACCGACACATGGGGACTTGATTAAACAAAACAAATAGTACTACGTTGAAAAAGGTGAATCCAAATTTCCCTTTTGGAACTATTTTTTGTTTATTCCAATTGATGTCTATTTAGTAATTACACAAAATCTCCTTAAAGTTTCTCCTAATTACAAGTCCTCCTAATTATCCATATATTACATAACCCTCTGCATTTTAAGTTTCTGCAAAAATTACTTGAATTATTTTTTCAAAATAATATTAGTCATTATAAAGATTTCTTATTAGCCATATATTACAACACTTCAATATTAAACACTGTAATATAGTGTACATGTATGGTATGGATTATAAAATAAGTTTAGGCTTAGCTAGCATTTGGACATAGATTTTGTTGAAACCTCAAAAGGAGTTTTTAAAGTTGCGTTGAAAAATAATTTTTGAAAGTTGAAGTTATGTTTGGACATGTATTTTATTTGAAAATTTAAAATTTTGTGAGTGAAAGAAAAATT